TTCTTCTAAATTGGAGGCAAAAGATAGCAGCTCAGTAGACACAGCCACAGATGCAATCTATAAACCCAGAAGAGCATACAGCATAGCTATTTCCATCTTGGGCCTTTATCACTTCATCTTATATTTAAAAATACTCCAAGTATGCATCTGCATACGAGCATCAGATACTTCTGAAGCCATTAATATACTCAAAATTATAGTCAGCTCTTCAGAATCAAAGAGGAAGAGTGTATTATTGATACCCAGGCTTATGGAAAAAAAAGTAAGACAGAATGGATACTGAGGAACATAATCAGGACATATATCACCCTATTTTTTTCAAAAGAGACCTATGACCTGGTAGGACTGGTACCAAACAGGAGCTACAAAGCCCAGGCAAACAAGCCCGTGTTAGTGTGTTAAGGAGAGCAAGATGCAGGGATGCTCGCCCTAGATCTGCATGCAGGCAGGTCAGGTCTGGCACAATTATTGCTGACCCCACGTGAAAGGAACTACAGTGCTTCTGGACCTGCTGATGGAGGACACAATATAGATACATCCATGGTCCTGGGCCTGGACCTCAATTGTCCAAAGTAGAGCCACTACATATATCTCTATACCAGCTTTAAAAACCACCTACAACATCAAAGCAAAACCTTTCCAGGAGCTCCACAAGGCAGTAACTAAATGCATATCCCATCCTGGCTATTTGTATTAAAAACAAATTCCTCTTAAGAATGGTTACTTTTCTGAAATTAATAAAATTGAAATTATTTCAGGACAGAAGATGCAGAATATAGTGTAACACTTCTGAAAAGAAAATAACAAGCAATATGAGATAAAGAAAAAAATCCCCTGTTAACATCTCTTAAAATAATAATAAAAAAAATATGGCACATATTTCAGTAGTCTAAGGTACCCAGTCTATTCTTGAAATGTTCATCGAGTCTAGCAGTGGTTCTGGGAATTAGGTGCTATAAACACTCCCATTTATAAAGAAGGAAATAGAAACACACAAAGATTAAACACCTGATACAAAGCCATTGCACTGAACAGAATTCAGGAGGCATTGGATGAGAGCCTAAGTGATTGCTCAAGGTTGTAATGAAGTCCATGGCACAGCTTTCAATACAGATCTTTTGTTCCCAGGCTATTGCAATATTCACTTCTTTTCTATTCAAGCTGTGATTAACATAGGGTGTTTAATGACCCCCAAGAGGCCTCTGCATCAATCCCATCTCATCTAACAACATTTATGGGGTCTCAGTCCTGTGGAATATATATAACAACATTAGCCTTAGTTTAGTATGAACTGATAAAAATCTGCTATATCCGGTCTTGTTTTCCATGGTAGATTCCCATCAACATTATGTTTAATGGAGGGAATTTGCTGAGGTCAAAAGGTAACAGGGAACATTTATTTAGGAACCATAAGCACGTCTCAGGCTCCACAACGCTATTTTTATTGTAGAACTTACTATAGTATTATTTGATAACACTGCTAATACTGACCAGAAACAAATATGAATCCATCAAAAATCTGTACAGCAAGTTGAGACGGGGCCACATTTATGTAATAAGTTTTCCAGGAGAGCTGCTGAAGGAAGTCCCCAGAGCTGCTACTGTCTACTCAGGTCTACAGTCTCCTTCTGGGAGTGCAGATCCATGGCATTCCACAGAGACCCACTGAAGCACCCAGCAGTCCTGCTGCCCACCAGCTGTGGAGGAGATGGAGCTTGTCTGGCTCCCAGGACCACCAGGAGACATCCAACGTTGCCTTTTGGTGCACAAGCAGGAAGCTGCTTCTGATTTTATCAAAAGCAGGGAACCTAATTAATAAGGTAAGAATTTCTCTATGCCTATGTACATACAGAATTAATGCCATTAGTACAACCTATGAGAAAAACTAAGACAGAAATATGAATACAAAAATATTAAAGTGCAAGAAAGATTATGCTTCTAATGGTATGCAAAACAACTTATATATTCAAGAAAAGACAAACACTTACTGCAAGGAAGAGCTTTTAGAATTGCCCTCTTTCTTCATGAAAGAGAATATATGGGTTTATTTAACCTGTCAGATAACTTTAATACCCCATCACATCTATTCCCTTTCAGATTGCATTTTAGCAGTCTATTACTTGCATCAAGCATAGAGAATTCTGAACCTGGAAAAGCCTCCTTTCCCTTTAATATCACACTCCCTCGAGAATATACCATTATTTAAAATTTGATTCCTTCAATACATATTTTTTTTAAAAGCACCCTCACAATCTGACAGGTAAAACCTCCAGAAAATAACTCCTCAGTGACAGTGTTCCCAAAAGGAATCCAACTTCAACTAAAATTTGAATAATATAAGCAGGAAGGAGCTGGGAATGTACATTAATGAGTAATTGTTCAATTCATGCGACAGGGATCATCCTCCACTAGAAATGACAATTGCACTGAAACGATAAAACTACAAAGCAGACTGTAAAACAGTGGTACCCTCTGGCCAAGGTCAGCATGCAGGACATGTTTTTACTTCAAACCTAAAAAGTCTTCAGTCCATTTTCCTACACAGCATCCCTCACATAACACATCAGTATGACGTATCTGTTCTGTCTGTTTGATTCCAAACCTTTGTACAAGTACATGAACCATGAAAAGTGTCCTGATTTGCAGTAATAATAAAGAAAACCCCAATTCCCACTGAAATCAGGATGAAATCACCCTGATATTTAAGGGACAGCCACACTGCTTAGCACCAGAGTAGGCTGGAAGACAAGAATTTCTATTTGCAAAAATATTCAAAGGTTTTTCTCCCATATGAGTCATCTCCTTAAAAGATCACATTTAGTCCCCTGCTCTACCCAATTTGGGCTTCTTGTTACTTGGCTACACTCACTCAAGCTGACCAAATAAATGTGCTTTCAAGGGAATCTCTACTCCAGAACTGACAATTTCTGGCTGGTGAAGGGAGTCAGCAGCAGGAGAGAGAATAAAGTTTCTGCTTGAGCCATGAAGAGAAATTATGGAGATTTTTTTTTCTACCAGCTCAACATGTCTGAATATAAGCAGCTGGGCTCGAGACAGCTTTGAAAGGGCTTTGTGCTCCTTTAAGATATTTCTATTGGACATTTATCTGAGACAATGTGTTTTTTAAATCTAATATGTAGAGAAGGAAAGTACTTACAGAAGAAAGTTTTGTCTTTGACATCAAAGAGAATAAATCCTAGTACTGGCAGAGCAATAGATCTCCACAGTATAAGCATCAGGTTTGAGGATTCATCATGCTAGGGACAATGAAAGAATTTAACCCAACTTGTCTATCCAGGCCAGCTCCTGCAGATATGCTAAGGCATGAGGGGTCACGAGCCTCCAGATCTCTCACTGACACCTTTTTCCTATATTTTGGCCTCTCACTATGTGATAGTTTCACTGGGCTAGCCCTTGGCCAGCAGCCAACACAGCCATTCACCCACTTCCCTCCCACCCCCAGGGGATAGGGGAGAGGATTGGGGGGCAGGGATAAGGAGGCTTGTAGGTTGAGATAAGAACAGTTTAATAATAGAGAGAAAACTTAAAATAATACTAATATTAAAATAGTAGAGATAATGATAGCAGTAACAAAATATGCAAGTGAGTGACACCCAGTGTTATATCTCACCCCCCTCCTGACCGAGCCCGGCCTGTTCCCAGATAATGATCCCGGAGGAGCGACAATCCCGAACCAAAACCACAATCCCAGAAGAGCGAGAGCCCGAGAGAAAGCCAGAGAGAGACAAAAGAGGAAGAGACCCTCACTAATATACTGGACATGACGCGATATGATATGGAATATCCCATTGGCATATCTAACTGTCAATTAAGTTTATTAATTTAAATATTCTTCTCCCCTCTTAAATCTTGTGCCTGTGGACTAACAGAACACAAAGTCCTTCACTTCCAGTGACAAAAATGTAAACA